GCAGTGGGGGCATTTTCAGGTGAAAACTGGAAAACCCCCTAGACAAATTCTGGAAGCTGTAACTTCGGTGGGCTCGGTGGCTCATGACTGTGATAGCAGCACTTTGTGGGGGCTGAGGTGGATCGCTTGAGCCCAGGATTTCAAGGCCAGCCTGAGCAATATAGGGAGACCCTGTGGACCCTCAGTATAGCATCTACACACACACACACACACACACACACACACACACAAGCTGGGCGTTGTAGCCCACTTCTGTTGTCCCGGCTACTCTTGAGTCTGAGGCAGGAAGATGGCTTGAGTCCAGGAGGTTGAGGCTTCAGTAAGCCATGATTGTGCCACTGTACTCCAGCCTGGGCAACAGAGCAAGACCTTGTCTCAAAAATAAGAAGAAGAAAAAAAAGAACAAGGCTTTTAATGAAAAATAATGATCCCCTGCTTCTCTTTCGTAACCCTTAAGTATACAACTTGCATATACAACCAGGCTCAAGTTTCTCAGCTAATTCTTATGATACTTACCTCTACATTTCTTCAAGCAACCCTCCCACCTTGGCCTCCCAAAGTTCTGAGATCACAGCTCCACTGTACCCAGCTCCAATTTTTAGTTAAATCAATACTTAGTGTTTACATTATTACGGCTGTGAAAATTTTCTTCACAGCTGAGCCATTTGTGTTTGTAGTAAGACTGTGAATCTGTAAAAACTGCTTTTGTTAATTAACATCAAGGACATAAGGCTGAGAAACCTCATTTTCTAAAATCATCGTCACAAACTTTGCTATTTGAAATCAGTCAGTGAGAATGGAATATCATGCTTTGCCAGAAGCTCTGAGCCACGTGGATTACTTCAACAGAAAAGTAGCCTCCATTTCTAACCCGAATGCAAAGCTTCAGACAATGAGGTCTTTTGGTTTTGTTTTTTGTAGAGATGGGGTTTCACCATGTTGGCCAGGCTGGTCTTGAACTCCTGATCTCAGGTGATCCACCTGCCTCAGCCTTCCAAAGTGCTGGGATTACAGGCATGAGCCACCATGCCCGGCCCTTGTTTTGTTTTAAATAGAGACAGGGTCTCACTATGTTGCCCCAGGATGGTCTCCAATTCCTGGGTTGAAGCCATTCCTCCCACATTGGCCTCCCAAAGTGTTGGGATTACAGGCATAAGCCACTGTTCCCAGCCTAGATAGTGAGGTTTTGGACACTACGTTCTACATTTATTTTAACTTTGTAATTTCCAAGTGGACCCTCAGCTCAGACTTCTTCTTGATCCCTTCACTTAAAGTTATGCTTACTTTGAACCTATCAAAACACTGCTTCATTTAAATTTTAACTAGCCTATAGTATCAGCTACTTGAGAGGCTGAGGCAGGAGGATCACTTGAGCCCAGGAGTTTGAGTCCAGCCTGGGCTACATAGTGAGACTTCATCTGCAAATAAGTAAGTAAATACATTTTAAAATATAAATATTAAAGTCAAGCCTTTCCCATATCCTGTTGTATTAGTTTATGTTCACGTTGCTGATAAGGACATACCCAAAACTGGGAACAAAAAGAGGTTTAATTGGACTTACAGTTCCACCTGGGTGGGGGAGGCCTCAGAATCATGGTGGGAGGCAAAAGGCACTTCTTTTTTTTTTTTTTTTTCTTTTTTGAGACGGAGTTTCGCTCTTGTTACCCAGGCTGGAGTGCAATGGCGCGATCTCGGCTCACCGCAACCTCCGCCTCCTGGGTTCAGGCAATTCTCCTGCCTCAGCCTCCTGAGTAGCTGGGATTACAGGCACGCGCCACCACGCCCAGCTAGTTTTTTGTATTTTTGTAGAGACGGGGTTTCACCATGTTGACCAGGATGGTCTCGATCTCTTGACCTTGTGATCCACCTGCCTCGGCCTCCCAAAGTGCTGGGATTACAGGCTTGAGCCACCGTGCCCGGTCAAAAGGCACTTCTTACATGGCGGTGGTGAGAGAAAAATAGAAAAATGAGAAGCAAAAGCAGAAACCCCTGATAAACCCATCAGATCTTGTGAGACTTACTCACTAGTACGAGAAAAGCACAGGAAAGACTGGCGCCCATGATTCAATTACCTCCTTCTGGGTCCCTCCCACCACATGTGGGAATTCTGGGAGATACTCAAGTTGAGATTTGGGTGGGGACACAACCAAACCATATCATTCCACCCCTGGCCCCCTCCAAATCTCATATCCTTTTATTTCAACACCAATCATGCCTCCTCAACAGTCCCTAAAAGTCTTAACTAATTTTGCATTAACCCAAAAATCCACAGTACAAAGTCTCATCTGAGACAAGGCAAGTCTCTTCTGCCTATGAGTCTGTAAAATAAAAAAAACGAGCTAGTTACTTCCTAGATATAATGGGGGTACAGGTGTTGGGTAAATACAGCCATTCCAAATGGGAGAAATTGGTCCAAACAAAGGGGTTACAGGGCCCATGGAAGTGCAAAATCCAGCGGGGCAGTCAAATTTTAAAGCTCCAAAATGCTGTCCTTTGACTCCAGGTCTCACATCCAGGTCATGCTGATGCAAGAGTTGGGTTCCCATAGTGTTGGACAGCTCTGCCCCTGTGGCTTTGCAGGGTACAGCCTCCCTCCTGGCTGCTTTCACGGGCTGGCATCGAGTGTCTGTGGCTTTTCTAGGTGCACAGTGCAAATTGTCAGGGGATCTACCATTCTGGGGTCTGGAGGACGGTAGCTCTCTTCTCACAGCTCCAGTAGGCAGTACCCCAGTAGGGACTATGTTTAGGGGTTTTGACCCCACATTTCCTTTCTGCACTGCCCTAGCAGAGGCTTTCCATGAGGGGCCTGCCCCTGCAGCAAACTTTTGCCTGGGCGTCCAGGCGTTTCCATACGTCTTCTGAAATGCAGGTGGAGGTTTCTAAACCTCAGGTTCTTGACTTCTGTGTACCCACAGGCTCATACCACATGGAAACTGCCAAGATCTGGGGCTTCCACCTTCTGAAGCCACAGCCTGAGCTGTATGTTGGCCCCTTTCAGCCACAGCTGGAGTGTCTGGGACACACGGCACCAAGTCTCTAGGCTGCACACAGCATGGGGACTCTGGGCCAGGCCCATGAAACCACTTTTTTTCTCCTGGGCCTCTGGGACTATGATGGGAGGGGCTGCCATGAGTCTCTGACCTGTCTTGGAGACATTTTCTCCATGGTCTTGGGGATTAGCATTAGGCTCCTTACTACTTATGCAAATTTCTGCAGCTGTGTTGAATTTTTCCCCAGAAAATGGGTTTTTTCTTTTCTTTTTTCTTTTTTTTTTGAGACGGAGTTTCGCTCTTGTTACCCAGGCTGGAGTGCAATGGTGCGGTGCGATCTCGGCTCACTGCAACCTCCGCCTCCTGGGTTCAGGCAATTCTCCTGCCTCAGCCTCCTGAGTAGCTGGGATTACAGGCACGCGCCACCATGCCCAGCTAATTTCTTGTATTTTTAGTAGAGACGGGGTTTCACCATCTTGACCGGGATGGTCTCAATCTCTTGACCTCGTGATCCACCCGCCTCGGCCTCCCAAAGTGCTGGAATTACAGGCTTGAGCCACCGCGCCTGGCCCGGGTTTTTCTTTTCTATTGCATAGTCAGGCTGCGAATTTTCCAAACTTTTATGCTCTGCTTCCCTTATAAAATGAATGCCTTTAACAGAACCCAAGACACCTCTTGAATGCTTTGCTGCTTAGAAATTTCTTCAGCCAGATACCCTAATACCTAATTCTTCTGGTTCTTTCTTTCCCTTTCTTTTTTTTTTTTTGAGACAGAGTTTCGCTCTTGTTACCCAGGCTGGAGTGCAATGGTGCGATCTTGGCTCACTGCAACCTCCGCCTCCTGGGCTCAGGCAATTCTCCTGCCTCAGCCTCCTGAGTAGCTGGGATTACAGACACGCGCCACCATGCCCAGCTAATTTTTTGTATTTTTAGTAGAGACGGGGTTTCACTATGTTGACCAGGATGGTCTTGATCTCTTGACCTTGTGATCCACCTGCCTCGGCCTCCCAAAGTGCTGGGATTACAGGCTTGAGCCACCGCGCCCGGTGCTTCCCTTTCTTTCTTTTTCTTTCTTCTTTCTTTCTCTCTCTCTCTCTTTCTTTCTTTCTCTCTCTTTCTCCTTTCTTCCTTCTTTCCTTTTCTCACAGCCTCCTGGAGCCCTTCTTCCTCTGGCTCCAAGTTATATTGGTGGTTGTCCTTGTAAAAATATGACTACCTCTGTTCTAACAATAATTTCAAGCCTTCATGGTTAGTTGTCAATGCAACTGCTTCCCTGACTCCTGCTTTCCCCCTCCACCCAAGGAGGGGTTGAATCTCTTGACATTTCTATATCTCTACAGTCCTTCATGGTAATCGAGAAATGTTCTGGCTGGGTGCAGTGACTCACGCCTGTAATCCCAACACTTTGGGAGGCTGAGGTGGGCAGATCACTTGAGGTCAGGAGTTCGAGACCATCCTGGCCAACATAGTGAAATCCTCGTCTCCACTAAAAATACAAAAATTAGCTGGGTGTGGTGGCGCGTGCCTGTTATCCCAGCTACCGAGGTTGCAGTGAGCTGAGATCGTGCCACTGCACTCCAGCCTGGGCAACAGAGTGAGACTCCATCTCAAAAAAAAAAAAAAAAAAAAAAAAAAAAAAAAAAAAAAAAGTTCTGTCTAGCCTAGGCACTATAGAGAGACCCTGTCAAGAACGGAAAGGAAAAAAAAGAGAAAGAATGTTCGAATGAATGAACAGGTGAATGAAGATTTCAGTGCTGGAGAACTGAGTTTAAGGGGAACTGTATTATATTCCCATGGTGTTGCAACATTTAAGGATGTCCTCAAGCCCCACGCCAGCTTACAGCGTAGCCCTAGGTTGGGAAGCAGCGCCGAGGGCTCGCCCAGCTCGACGTTTGCGGAGCACAGCCTGCTGGACCCCGCCTAGACTGAGGCGGTGGCCACGAGTACGCCGGGCGCTGCCATGTGAACTACAACTCCCAGAAAGCTGCGCGGAAGCAGAACGTGAGCCAGGGAGGACTTCCGGACGCAGACATCCGGGCCGGCGGGGAAGCGGAGACGCTGGGCCAAGAGGTAAGTGTGGATTTCAGACTGAATGGAGAGAGCGAGAGCTGGGGAATGGGTCTCAAATGTAGAGGGGTTAGCAAGATGGAAGGAACCCTTCCACCTTTTGCGGACACTCAAGTTCGAACCGCTGGGATCGGATTCCCCTCTGGCTAGGGCTGGTTTAAATGCTCCCTCTGGTGGGCGGGCGTCGGCTGAATTTGGTCCGCTTTTCCTTTCTGCTCCTCAGGGGAGCTTTGCTTTCTTTTCTCGCAGTGATCATGACGAAATTAGCGCAGTGGCTTTGGGGACTGGCGATCCTGGGCTCCACCTGGGCGGCCCTGACCACGGGAGCCTTGGGCCTGGAGCTGCCCTTGTCCTGCCAGGAAGTCTTGTGGCCACTGCCAGCCTACTTGCTGGTGTCCGCCGGCTGCTATGCCCTGGGCACTGTAGGCTATCGTGTGGCCACTTTTCATGACTGCGAGGATGCTGCACGCGAGCTGCAGAGCCAGATACAGGAGGCCCGAGCCGACTTAGCCCGCATGGGGCTGCGCTTCTGACAGCCTAACCCCATTCCTGCGCGGACAGCCCTTCCTCCCATTCCCCATTAAAGAGCCAGTTTATTTTCTAACTTCGTTTAGTCTGATTATGGAAAATGGGTATTGGGGATTCTGTGTACTAACGTTAGGTCGAGAAGTGAATGTGAAAGAACCACCTTCCTGAGGCCATCTCAGCCTTTATCTTTGCATCTTGCTGGTGTTCCCATTTTTGCTCCCAAGGAGGTAAAGACCCCTTCTCAAGATCTCTCAGGATGGAAATTACATTTCACTGTCCTGGTCCTTTGAACCCTGTAGGAAGTACTTCTGCTTTATTTTATTTTATTTATTTATTTTTGAGACAGGATCTCACTCTTGCCCAGGCTGGAGTGCAGTGGTGCAATCAACTGCAGCCTCACCTTCCCGGGCTCAAACCAACCTCTACCTCAGCCTCCAGAGTACCTGGGACTACAGGCATGTGCCACCAGGCTAATGTTTAATTTTTTGTAGAGACAGGGTCTCACTGTGTTGCTCAGGCTCTTCCTGAACTCCTGGGTTCAAGTGATCCTCCCACCCAGGCCTCCTCAAGTGCTGTGATTACAGATATAAGCCACCTTATCCAGCCAGAAGTACTTTCTTGAAGGTTGCCATTCTTTATAACATCCGACTTTTGTTCTTTCTAAGGCCTTCCTGGGTCCTTCCAACTTTTTGGTTCTTTGAGATACCTTTTCAGGGCCCACCCTACCAACCTGAGAATAACTGGATCCACCCGTCACCAAACCAGGCAGGTTTAGAATCATGAGTAGAGAATGAACCATCATGGGCAGGGGTGGGGAACACTTTATTTTAAGGCATATTCTAAACATATCACCCCAACCTCCAAAATTAAAAAAAATAATCTCTCTAAAAAATAAAAGTGATTTCATCTCCTAGGCCCCAACCAATCACTTAAGTAAAGTTCTTTCTTTGGTCCCTTTATCCTCAAAGTCATCTCTTGTTCCCACAACCCATTGCACCTGGGAAGCTGGACAGCAGGCCCAGCTGAAACAAGAAGCTCTCTTTGGTTCAGGTTGGCACTAAGGTGCCCAGTGGTCAGGTGAGCAGCCTCAGGTTTGCAGGAGCCGATAGTTCCTGTCTTGCTCCTGAGGGTACTTCCAGAAAAGCCAGAAGCGGATAAAGCTGGTGACGATTCCTGGAAAGTTGGACACCTGAAATCACAAGAACTGCTATGAGGAGAGGAGCCAGTTTTCCACCTTGCATACCTGTCACCCCATCCCTGTTCTGCTTACCATGATGTAGGGATCTCTGAGCTGAAACCCATAGAGGCACCAGGAGGCAGAGGTGAGAAGGGTAGCAATGGTGAGTGGGTAGGAGAGACATTGGGTTGATTTAGTCTGAATGACCTTAGCCTGTGGGAAAGAATGAAAGACTCTCCTGGGCCAAGCACATAGTAGAGCTTTCACTTGCCTAAGAATTTTCTCTGGAAAAAGGTCAGATACCCTCCCTGATCTGTCACCACCTTCCTGCCTCCCACTCACCCACCTCTACTGCCTTGTCTCCCTCCGGGGTTTGGATCTCCCCTTCCTCTGGACTGTAAGGCAGAGTATTTGGCTATAAGAGCCTGACTTTTTTTTTTTTTTTTGAGACAGAGTTTCGCTCTTGTTACCCAGGCTGGAGTGCAATGGCGCGATCTCGGCTCACCGCAACCTCCGCCTCCTGGGTTCAGGCAATTCTCCTGCCTCAGCCTCCTGAGTAGCTGGGATTACAGGCACGCGCCACCATGCCCAGCTAATTTTTTTGTATTTTTAGTAGAGACGGGGTTTCACCATGCTGACCAGGATGGTCTCGATCTCGACCTCGTGATCCACCCACCTCGGCCTCCCAAAGTGCTGGGATTACAGGCTTGAGCCACCGCGCCCGGCCTCAAGAGCCTGACTCTTACCTCTTCCACCTCCTTGGACATCCCCACTCACCAAGTCAGCCAGTGGTGAGAGGTACATGCTGATGGTGAAGACACTGCAGAAGAGGCCCAGCTGCTGGAGCCGGCCCTCAGGGTCGGGTACCAGGAGCCAAAAGTAGCCATAACCCAGGAGAAGGACCCCTAGCAGGGTCGCAGTCTGAAGGAGCACAACACGCTGCAGGGGAGAGAGTAGCCTTACTTCCAGGTGTGCACTTGGACCTCCCTGCTAGAATTAATTCATCCTGCCTTTTCCCATGCTCCAATGGGGAAGCCAAACTGTTTAGGCCTCCAGCACTGCACTGTCACAGCATCTTTCCAACCAGCAACTTGATAGGAAAGTCTTCTACACCCACAACACCGGAGACTTCTAGGACAGGGAAAGATGTGTTTCTTTCTGTGTGCTTGGCACACACAGTAGGAGCTTAATAAATGCTTGTGTGATTGAGCAGGGAAGCAGAGCTAGTCATCTCATTCTCACCCACAGGCCCTGGCTCTGAAAAAAATATCAGAGACAAAAGCCCTTTCCCCCTAGCCCGCTGGCAGCATAACCATCTCAGGCTAGATACAGCTACCAGCCTTGCCTAAATGGGGGCAATGTGTGAATCTCAGAAGGCTGGCTTCATAGAGGAAGGAGACCTGCAAGGCTGGAGGGGCCTTCCTGGAAAGAGTGGCAGTGCCACCTGTTAGTCTTCTAGGAAGTAGTGTTTACTCTGCCAGCAAGGCAGAGCGTGCAGCAGAGAGGTGGGTCCAAGGTAGGGCCTCTACCTTCCGAGGGCAGTAATGCAGATACGCCAAGATATACAGGGTCTGAAGTGCAGCACCCACTGCGTTGACGCCGATCAGGATTCCGTCTCCCTTCAAGGTCCCATAACTCAGCCAGCCCAGGTTGCTGCAGGGTGGAGAGGGACATGGCTCAAAGGGGTCACTGTGAGAGGAGGACCCAAAGGGGCTCTTTCACTCATGCTCCTACCCCGCTCCCACCTCCCTCCGATAGCCTTTCCCACCGCCGCAGCCGTCGCTCCCTCACTTGACTTCCGTGGTGAGAAAGGGCAGGAACTGGACGTTGTCCACACTCCGGGTCATTCGCATGTGCCTGAGGTCTGAGCTGTAATGGGGCCCCGAAGAGAGGGGTGAAGCGTGGGAAGGGAGAAGCAAACTGTTTGGTGGGGATGCCCAATGCCTGTCATCCTTCCCGGACCACCGCAGACCCCGCCCTCCCAGCTATCCTGCCTTCTCCCTCAGGCCTAATGATCAGCCTCGCCCTTGTACCCTGGTCCCCTCGACCCGATCCCACTTTGATCCCGGGTTCCAGACGAGCCAGGTGCTGTGGCCACGTCTCTGCCCTCTCTCTCTCCTTTCCTGACTTCCTAGTCCTCCCCAGCCCAGTCCCGCCGCGCTCTCACAGGCCGGCGGAGAACATGCCGAGGGTGAAGACCACGCATGCTCCGTAAATGAACGAGTCGAGCAAGCCGCCCGCCTCCATCACGACCAGAGTCAGATCCCGCGCCAAGCGCCGGCCGCCAGCCTGCGGTGGCCGGGACCTACGGCGACCTAGACCTGCGGCGCCGGAGCCCCGCCCCGCGCACTCAGCTCCGCCCCCGCGCGCTCGGGCCGTCCCTCCGGAAACTGCGCTAAGCCCCGCCCCCTCCGCCACCGAACCGGAACTCGCGCCCTCCCCCTCGGAGCGCCTGCCCAGTACCCTGGTCCAGCCCTCTTCCAGGTCCCTGTCGGTCCCCTTCCTAGGGCTCCGCGGATGTGTCCCCGATGCCTGCCGCTCCTCACACTGTGCCTACCCTTTGGATCATCTAGACCGCAGTCTCAACGCTGGTGTTCCCACAGGCCTGTGCGGCTTCGGCGGTGGACCTCCAAACAAAAGCTTGCTAGATTCAACCAGACTTCAGCACGCTTTCCATCCAGAGCTCCACAGCACAACCCCAGTTGCCCAGGGTTTGGGAGGTTTTTTTCTGAAGTTTGCTGCCGAAGCCTTTTCTCAAAATAACAGACATTGCCGAGAATCACCAAGCCTTCCTCTTTTGCCCTTCCTCTCGGGCTACAAGGTCAGGTCAACTTTATATGACGTGACCAATCCACTGACGCCTCTCTCACTGACCCCCTCGGTCCAACCCACTTGCTGCTGGCAACTTTCCCTCCCAGCCTCCCACACGTCTCTGCTGGTGTGGCTGTGAGGCGGGGCCGCATGCCTCAGCTGGCGTTCCCAGTTTCCCTGACTCACCCGAACAGCATGAGTACCTGAACCGTGGTATGCCAAAGCCCTGCGGTGAGGGGGTGGGAGTGGGGTAGAGGTTGGACAGGAAGAACTTCCAGAGTGGAGTGCAGCTCAGAACCCGAGAGACTGCTGTCAGGAGCACTCTGGCCTTGGACAACCCTCAGAGGAGGAAACACCCCACTCTTTTAGCCTGGTGAGGGGCATGCATTCTTGGGAGAGAAAGAAATTCAAACCCAGTTGCTACTATTGTAGCACAGAGCCCAGTACTTAGCAGGGACTCAATGGTCATAAACCTTAATATGAAGTGGCAGAAAAGCATGTCCGGAAAAAACACATTGCTTTATTTTGAGACAAAGAACATTGTATAAAAAAACTCCAGTTGTAGAAATCGGGACAGACACACAGCAACTTATATACAGATACTGTACATGTGGGCCCTGCCCTTTAGGCTACACTCTAGGCAGACTGTACACATGGGCACTGCCCTTACAGCTACACTCTAAGAACAGGTTGGCACAGCCCCCCTGCTGGCACAGCTCTGGGGAGTGCTGCCCCAGGATGAGAGAGAATGCAGTACCTGGCTACAAACCTCACTGTGGCTGCTCCACAGATGAGGTCTTGGCTGGGAGATGCTGGGTCAGCCCAAGCATGCTGCCTCTCCTGTACCTGGCTCCCAAGCAGGAAACTTTCTTGTTTTCCTTCAGTCAGTTCATCCGGGCATCCTGACTCTCTCCTGGAGGGGGCATCTTTGCCAAGCTTTGCCCATCCATGTGGCCCCTTCCAGCTCAGCTCCCACTGTGCCTTAAGGGACCATGTCTACACAGCTTGTTTCTTTGGCTTAAAGGCAGGAATGGTGGGAAAGGACCGTCTCCACTTCTTTCTCCATCCATCCGAGGTGAAGGTGGGGATGGCACTGCCGGGCTGGTCGACCTCCTTCCAGTTGAAACCCTTAATACTGACCCGTTTTGAGGCTGCTGGGTGACAGCTTGTGCATGTGGTGGGAGTGGTTCCCAGGGCTGGGGGCTTTGAAAGTGGCCCCAGGACAGGTTTGGAGCGCCTGTCCCTCTCTTCAGCCCAGTTCCAATCCTTAAGGCCACGTGTGGCATACACCTTCATCATGGGGTTTGCAGCAGCAGAAGTGGCAGGAGCAGCACAGTCCAGGCAAGTGGGAAGAGGCGTGGGGCAGCACTGTGACCGATACTATGTAGAACCCGCACCTCTGGGTCATCTGCAAGGCAAGAGGGCAAAGGCCCCCAATGTGAATGGCCCCACTATTTACACTAGCCCTCAGCCCAACAGGGTTCCCTCAGCCTCTGCCTGCTAAAGGAGCCAATCTCTTCAAGCAGACCCCTTCCTGTGCCCCAGGCCCAATTTGCTCCAGCTACTCACCTGCTGCAAGTTTCTTCTCCTGTGGATTGTCATGGGCTTCAGGACTGTGAGCTGAAAGACAAGAGTGGTAATAGATCAGGAATTGTATCAAAGAGGCAGAGGGCTGTGAGTGCGAGCGGCTGGGCTGCAAGACTTCTATACCATCCCAGATCACTAGACTGCACCCAGCATAGAGATAGAGGAAGGAGGCCCACAGGGCCCTGACACTCACTGATTTTGCCATTGACAGTCACCTTCAACCTCAAGCAGCGGTCTTCCTGCTGGTGGACAGGTTTGGCTGCAAGATAAGCCCACAGTGGGTTACAGAAGAAACCTTCGCTGGAAGAAAATGTAAGTCCGAATGCCCCTCACCCTGCTTTCTCAGATCCCAACTCATTTTCATTCTTCTCTTCCCTCTAACCTTGATTCTTACCCTCCTTAGTTTTTGCTAACTTCCTGCCCATAGTTCAGCCCAACCTGCCTGCCATTCTTTGGAAACAACCCTCAGGTTTGGCAGTGGTGACATAAGAACATAGACACTGTCCCTGCCCACATTTCATCCTTCACTCCTTCGAGTCTGAAGTGTGAGGGCTTCACCATATGTTCCTCTTGCCTGGGCCATTTAATACTACTCCTAGGCTGGGTACGGTGGCTTACGCCTGTAATCCCAGCACTTTGGGAGGCCAATGTGGGAAAAAAACCACATTGCTTTATTTTGATACAAAGAACATTGTATGAAAAAACTCCAGTTGTAGAAATCAGGGCAGACACACAGCATGAAGTCAGGAGTTCAAGACCAGCCTAGCCAATATGGTGAAATCCCGTTTCTACTAAAAGTACAAAAATTAGCCAGGCGTGGCGGTGTGTTCCAGCTACTTGGGAGCCTGAGGCAGAAGAATGGCTTGAACCTGGGAGGTGGATGTTGCAATGAGCCGAGATCACACCACTGCACTCCAGCCTGGGTGACAGAGTGAGACTCTGTCTCACAACAAAACAAAACAACGCTATTCCTGCCTAGGCCCCACTGACAAGAGTCCTAGATCCATTTTATACAAAGCTGATCTCGTAACTTTTTTTTTTTTTTGAGACGGAGTCTTGCTCTGTCACCCAGGCTGGAATGTAGTAGCGTGATCTCAGCTCACTGCAACCTCACGTGTCCTGCGTTCAAGTGATCCTTCTGCCTCAGCCTCTCAAATAGCTGGGATTACAGGTGTGCGCCACCACAACCAGCTCATATTTCTATTTTTTAAGGAGAGTCAAGGTTTTGCCACATTGGCCAGGCTGGTCTTGAACCTCAGGAGACCTTGGCCACCCAAAGTGACGGGTGATCTCCTAACTTTTAAAATCCATCAGGCTGGGTGTGGTGGCTCATGTGAACTTGTAATCCTAGCACTTTGGGAGGCCAAGGTGGGTGGATCACTTGAGGTCAGGAGTTCGAGACCAGCCTGATCAAGGTGGTGAAATCCCGTCTCTACTAAAAATACAAAATTAGCTGGGCATGGTGGCGGGTGCCTGTAATCCCGGCTACTTGGGAGGCTGAGGGAGGAGAATCGCTTGAATCCAGGAGGCGGAAGTTGCAGTGACCAGAGATCCCACCATTGTACTCCAGGCTGGACAACAAGAGGGAAACTCTATCACAAAAAATAAAACAAGACCCATCAGTGATGAGAGCCCTCAGGTTAACGTCCAAACTCCTTACCACCTTTTAGGTCCCCCATGGTCTGTCCTGTTCACCTCTCCTCACTTCCTATGTCCCTCCTACTTCAGCCAGGCTGAGCCATAGGAAGTTCCCTGAAGATGTCATGCTTCCTTTGTACGTGTGCCGTCATGCCGGCCCAGCCCCTCTGCTTGTCCTAAGCTCTAGGATCATCTTCCCCACTGAGCCGTTTCTGAGCCCCATAGCCTGGCAGGTGCCCAGGTCATTTTCCCAAGGCCCCTGTGCTCACGTATACTGTAGCACACTGCTTTAAGGGTCTGTTAAATCAGACCCTAAAGGTGTGTTTCTTCCCAGCTTCCTTGAGGACAGGGGCTCTGTAGTGTTCTCTGTATCTCTGTGCCCACATGCCAAGCAGAGTGCCCAGCACACAGTAGAAGCTCACTCACATCTGTGATGTGGATGAATGAAAATAGAATTCAGGATTGGAATTCTATTTCTTTTTTTTTTCTGAGGCGGAGTTTCACTCTTGTTACCCAGGCTGGAGTGCAATGGCGCGATCTCGGCTCACCGCAACCTCCGCCTTCTGGGTTCAGGCAATTCTCCTGCCTTAGCCTCCTGAGTAGCTGGGATTACAGGCACACGCCACCATGCCCAGCTAATTTTTTTTTGTATTTTTAGTAGAGACGGGGTTTCACCATGTTGACCAGGATGGTCTCGATCTCTTGACCTCATGATCCACCCGCCTCGGCCTCCCAAAGTGCTGGGATTACAGGCTTGAGCCACCGCGCCCGGCCCGGAATTCTATTTCAATAGAATTGAAATGGTTCTCTGCTGCTGGACTCTGCACCAAGCATGTACCCAAGTGTGTGTGTGGTGGCAGAAAGAACACACTGTCCCCTCATGGGCACTCACAGATGTAGTAGTAGCTGTGTCCTTCTTTGAACTCCTTGCCCAGGGTGAAAGGTGTGAAGCGCTGGAACTTCTCAGACAGCTTCTCCGGGCCATGCTTGGCATTGGGCCGGTTGCACTGCCAGCGGACCTGGTCCTTGGAGTGGGGCTGGCACAGCTGGTACTCCTCACGCTCCACCAGGTACAGGATGTAGCGCTCCATGGCAGCATCTGCCACAGAGTGATCCTCGTAGTGTGGACAAATGATGTCCACGTAGTCATTCAGCTGCACGTGTATGGTGTAGTCCTCATTCCGGAACCTGGGGAGACGCGCGGGGGAAGAAGCCGGTGGTCATTCAGAAGCCAAGCCAGATCCTTGGGCCTCGGAATGTTTGTTTACATGACCTCTCACCTTTCACACTGGGCCCCAGGAGACTTTTCCGAAGTCTCAACTCGCAATATATACTTATCTTGATGCCTTACATTTCTCTCTGCCATCTCTAAACATCCCCTTCCCCTCCCCACCGCACCATCACTGTCTCCTGTTGATCCTTCAAATAGCATCTACTCAGTAGCTCTCAGGTACCAAAGCATTTTCCATAACCCCCCCCCGATATTGACCCTGATATTTACTTCTACCTGTTTCTGTAGCTCACTTACCATTCTCTTCTACCTGTAAATAGTCCCCCAAATCTGTTCTACCAGTTGCTCCTTTTAAATGCTCTTGGACCTCACCCTGAGACCCTACCAGTCCCTTCCGCAGTCAGGATCCAGGGAATCCCTTCTCTTTGCCATGCTAGCCCCAAGCCCCCAACACATCTGTGTCTTCACCCTCCTTACTCCTCTCATGTTTCTGGGACCCCCCTCCCACCCCCGCCGCAAGGTAGATCTAACACTTCCCAGCTTCGCTTTTCCCTGGGCCCACAGACAATGCCTCTAGTCCTTTATT